CAAACGTTTCATCCGGTTGGCATGCTATGGACCCACCACTCCCGGACCCTTAATCCGGGTGTTCGGCGTGGCCGCAGGTGGCGTCCCTACCAGCAAGCCGCCATCATACACCACCATACACAACTGGTGCAAGGAGGCTTTCCAGTCCATCGGCCTGGGTAAGCATCACTTCGGCACCCACTCCTTTCGCAAAGGCACTGCGACCGTCGCTGCCCACGGAGGCATAGCGGACCGGCTCTTCAAACGTCTTGGCCGATGGCGCAGCGACACGGCCAAGGAAATGTATGTCACACCGCCGTCGACCAACTGGTTGCGGCTTCCCTGTAATATTTTGACAGGTGGTGCAGAAGACTAAGTGTAGAATCTGCAACCACGAGTACTTAACCAAGGATCTTTGCTGGAATGGTAGACTAGTAAGACAACGGAAGTCTTATCAGTGTGAACCTGAGCACATGAACTTGTGGGTAGTCGAAGGTTGAATAACCTGAGCACATAATTCTGTGGAAAGTCAAGGTTAATAATAGAAAGGCATTACAAGGATTTATAGCTCTAGGAAAAGTACCTGTTTGCTAATGTACCTGTTCATCACTATCGCGCTATGCGACCTATTCGTCACTCTATATGGTCGCGCCTATTCGCGTAACTGAAACGATATGCTGACGTAATCCTGAGACCCGCGATGCTTTGCTGACATCATTACTCGGACCTGTTTACTTACTGAGAAACTCGAAACAGCTAACTACACTGAAAACGGAACTTGCAGGAATGCAAAACTTCATTTACCACAACACCCGCAACGTACAGACCCTCGGGTCGGCACCATCCCCGGCACAATATTCTCGAGCTCTTGCACGCCACCGACAGCCATCTCTCTCCTGTTGTGATATAATTGATACTTAGCATTTTTGTAAGTCGATTAGGTGTAGATGGTGTCGAATCCTATTGTAGAACATAAGTCCGTAGGATGACGTCAGCAAATAGCGCTCGTCATAGGACAATCGTTTCAGTCACGCGAACAGTCGCACCTCTTCATTATCGTTTAGAGCGCATAGCGCGATAGTGACGAATAGGTACATTAGCGAATAGGTACTTTCCTAGAGCTATAAATCCTTGTTGTGTTCTTTTCAATATTAACCTTGAGATTTCAACTTTGAGAACTTTGAGACTTAAACTTCTGCATAAACATATACTCAAGTTCATACTTACAAGACTTCTGGTGTCTACCATTCCAGTAAAGATCCTGGACCAACACTTGAGGATTTCCAAGTGTTCGTGTTTGCAGTTTTATACTTCGTCTTCTACAACATTGGACAAGTTATTTTCATGGTATGAGAGCTATCTGGAATTAAGACTACTGTCAATCGTGACTGGTTCATCACCAACACCGTCTGCCGGATCAACTTCCGGAACTACTGGAGTACATGTCTCCACGACCGCCGCTGGTCTCTCAGCCTCTGGGCCGTTTCCACCAGCCTATGCTCATATCGGTATGCAACAGCAGAATCCGCCTTCTGTTAACACTCCAGGTGTTTCTTCGACTGCACCTGCAGCACAACAACAACAATCACAGACAGCAGCACAGCAACAAGCGTCAGTACAGCCACCAGTTTCAACGCAATCAATTTCATCTGCGTTCAGTGGAATGAGCCTCGATGGCTCAAGTTATATGCGTGGAGCCACAGCTCCAAGTACTGGTTCGTTCACTTTCTCACCTTTTGTACAGCAGCCGCAGTCGCAGCAGTTTCAGCATCCCTTCTACATTTTCGGTCGTTCACCCTGCTCGGCAACAACAGCAACAACAACAACAGCAGCATCATCAACAGTCACAACAATCCCAACAGCAACAGCAACAACAGCAACAACAACAACAGCCGGGTATTGTTTTTCAGCCTCCAAATTTACTTAACAACACACAGATAAAAACCACTATACCTTTTAACGGAGTCGACTTCTACTCATGGAGCTTTGAGTTTGAGCTTCTGGCGCAGTCCGCTGGACTATGGCCGTTCTTCACCGGCGAATTCACCTATCCTGTTACGGGAACACAACTGGAGCACCAAAGTTTTTTGGACGCCTCTCTCGGGGCTTATACAGTTCTCGTTCGGAACCTGTCGCCGAAGGAGCAACTCGGCGTCCGATCATTTCACTCAAGCTTTACACCAGCCGAAACTGCTTGGAACCATCTGAAGGGGGT